TCGAACCCAAGCCTCCCAATATCTAAACACTGAAACGGTTTTGTTTTAATCCATTATCAGCCGCCCATTTACACAAATGAGCAGCCACTGCCAGAACGGAGAGTTTCATCTACGCTGATGATCATTACCATCTCACCTGCTTCTGTTACAAAACAGGAGCTTTTTTGTTGAGTTCCAAGGTCAGAGAAACAGATGGTGGAGTCAGAAGAACGACCTGCCTCAGGGGAGCGTGCTTGCTCCTATCAGTGTTTTTGCCATTTACACAAATAACCATCCACTGCCAGAAGGGATAGAGAGTTTCATGTACGCTGATGATCCTGCCATCACTGCCCAAGCAGGGAGCATTGAAACAGTTGAACAGAAGCTCTCCAAAGCTTTAGGTGTTCTTATTGCCCGTTACAAAGAAAACCAACTCGCACCATTAATGTTTAATATTTACACACATGACCAGCCACTGCCAGAAGGGACAGAGAGTTTCATCTATGCTGACGATCATGCCATCACCCCCCAAGAAGGGAATTTTCAAACTGTTGAACAGAAGCTCTCCAAAGCTTTAGGTATTCTTATTGCCCATTACAAAGAAAACCAACTCGCATCATTAATGTTTAATATTTACACACATGGCCAGCCACTGCCAGAAGGGTTAAAGAATTTCATCTATGCTGACGATCATGCCATCACCGCCCAAGCAGGGAGCTTTCAAATGGTTGAACAGAACTTCTCTGGAGCTTTAGGTATGCTTACTGCCTGTTACAGGGGAAACCAGCCTGCTCCATCAATGTTCAACATTTACACAAATGATCAACCACTCCCAGACAGAGGGACAGAGGGTTTCCTCTATGCTGATGATCATGCCATCACCGCCCAAGCATTGAAATAGTTGAACAGAAGTTCTCTGGAGGTTTAGGTGCTCTTACCTCCTATTACAGGGGAAACCACCTCGCTCCATCCATGTTTAACATTTGCACAAATGATCCTCCACTGCCAGAAGGGACAGAGAGTTTCATATACGCTGACAATCCTGCCATCACCGCCCAAGCAGAGAGCTTTGAAATGGTTGACCAGAAGCTCTCTGAAGCTCTTACTGCCTATTACAGAGAAAACCAGCTTACATCATCAATGTTTAACATTTGCACAAATGACCAGCCACTCCCAGAAGGGATAGAGAGTTTCATCTATGTTGACAATCATGCCATCACCGCCCAAGCAGGGAGCTTTCAAACGGTTGAACAGAAGCTCTCCAAAGCTTTAGGTGTTCTTATTGCCCGTTACAAAGAAAACCAACTTGCACCATTAATGTTTAACATTTACACACATGACTATCCACTGCCAGAAGGGACAGAAAGTTTCATATACGCTGATGATCCTGCCATCACTGCCAAGCAGAGAGCTTTGAAATGGTTGATCAGAATCTCTGGGAAACTTTAGGTGCCAATTACAAGGAAAACCAGTTTGCTCCATCAATGCTTAACATTTGCACAAATGGTCAGCCACTGCCAGAAGGGACAGAGAGTTTCATCTATGCTGACGATCCTGCCATCACCACCCAAGAAAGGAGCTTTGAAACAGTTGAACAGAAGCTCTCCAAAACTTTAGATGCTCTTACTGCCTGTTACAGGGAAAACCATCTGATTCCTAATCCAATACATATTAGAGATGACAGAAATGGTGGACCACTCTGACAACCACCATGTCACAGAGAAGCCACTGAAATCCACAAGCAGCATGTGGACCATGAAAAGGAACACAATCAGACTCCTAGTATTACAAAAAACCCCTCTAGAATCAAGAAATAAACAACAACACTCAGAAAACAGGAGAATTCCAGACAGGAGACAATCAGGGCTAGCTAACACCTCCCAGTAAAGGATTCCCCCAGGCGGGAAGCAGCCAGGCTTTGAAGCTGCAAGGCCATTCAATGCGCATCAAGGCTGTCGACTGCAACCTTCACACTTGCCTCCAACAGACAAGGGTTCTTTCTCCTACCCTGGACATCATTCCAGGGGGATATATACAAACCCCATTTGCCTCGTTTCCAACCTGTGAGGATGCCTGCTGTACATATGGGCGAAACGTCAGGAGAGAATGCTTCTGGAACACGGCCAGGTCGCCACCCAGAACAATCATAATATTCAGCCATAAATAACAGAATATCAAGAATATTCAGCAATAACAACAAAAGAATAGCAGAAAAAGAATATTCAGCCACGAAAAAACCAGAAAAATAAGAATATTTGGCCATAATAATAACAGTCACAGAAGAAGACGGATGCCCCAGTTTCCTCTCTCAAGAGACTCTCGCAATGCTAAAATGCAAGACAACATACAATATAGAACCCACAACGTACAAACGAACGAAATAATAATATAATATAACATAATATAATATAACACTATTTGATTTGTAGTCAATCCACTCTTTTGGGGTTCATGAAAATCAACCATTTGCCAAAATATATTATATTATATCATATCACATATTATAATATATTATTTATATTTTTGCATATAATATAACGTACTATAAATATATATGTATATGTATACACGTTTGTAGTCAATCCACTGTTTTGGGCTTCACGGAAATCTACCCATTTCCCAAAATATAATATATATTACATAATATTATATTATATATTTTATTATTTATATTTTTGCAAATAATTTAACTATATATATATATATATATATATATATATATATATATATATATATATATAATACAGTATTATATAATATATAAAACATATATAATACATGTTAATAAAATATAATTATATATTCTATATATAAATACAGTATTATTATATAATATACAAAACATATATAATACATGATAATGAAATATAATTATATATTAATATATAATTATTTATAGTGTATATAATATAATAATGTATAATAATAAAATAAATATAAATAAAATATAACCAGTAATAAAAGGAAAAAAATAATACCAAAATAAACAAAAATAATATAAAATGCATAACAATAGAAAATATAATCTAAAATAATAAAATATTAATATATATTTATAGTGTATATAATATAATAACGTATAATAATAAAATAAATATAAATAGAATATAACTAGTAATAAAATAAAAGGAAAAAATATAATATAATGCCAAAAATAAATAAAAGTAATATAAAATGCATAACAATAGAAAATATAATCTAAAATAATCAAAATAAATAAAATAATTTAGAATATAAAATAATATGCATGATGAAATAAAATAAATGTATACATTAATATAGAATATATAATACATTTAATGCAATAATAAATAAAATAAAATAGAAGATAAAATAATATGTATTATGAAATAAAATAAATGTATACATTAATATATAAAACATATAATGCAATAATACATAATCATAATTATATATTATTAATATACACTTTATATAATGTTTAAAGTGTATATTAATAATATAATAATGTATAATAAAATAAATATAAATAAAATATAACATGTAATTATATAATATAATAGGAAAAAAATATAATACCAAAATAAATAAAAATATGTGATACATAATAATAGAAAATATAATAAAATATAATAAAATAGATAAAATAATACAACTATAAAATAATATGTAATATAAAATAAATGTGTACATTATTATATAATATATAAAACACATAATATAAGAATACATGATCATAAAATATAATTATATATTATTAATATATATTTTATACAGTGTATATAATATAATAACTTATAATAATAAAATAAATATAAATAAAATAAATCATGTAATAATATAAAAATATAATTCCAAAATAAAAAATCTAATGCATAACAATAGAAAATATAATATCAAATAATAAAATAATTAAAATAATATAAAATATAAAATAATATATGTATATATATATTAATAAATAAAATATATCAAGTAATATTATAATAGAAAAAAAATATAATACCAAGATAAAAAAAATCTAATGCAAAAAAATAGAAAATATAACATAAAATAATAAAAACAAATAAAATATTCTATAATCTAATGCAAAAAATAGAAGATATAACATCAAATAATAAAATTAAATAAGATAATATATAATATAAAATAATATATATATATATTAATAAATAAAATATAACAAGTAATATTATAATAGAAAAAAATAGAATACCAAGATAAAAAAAATCTAATGCAAAAAAATTTAGAAAATATAACATAATAAAAACAAATAACATAATATATGATATAAAATAATAATATATAACATATATTAAGAAATAAAATATAATAGAAAAAATATAATACCAAGGTAAAAAAAATCTAATGCAAAAAAATTAGAAAATATAACATAAAATAATAAAAACAAATAACATAATATATAATATGAAATAATAATATATAACATATATATTAATGAAATAAAAAGAATATGACAAGTAATAAAATAATAGGAATATAAACAAAATAAACAAAAGTAATATGTAATACATAACAATAGAAAATATAATCTAAAATAATATATATATATATATAATAAAATAAATGAAAATAAAATGGAATTAAGGATGATAATATAGCTAATGATATAATAATAATAATAATAATAATAATGTATAATAATAAAATAAATATAAATAAAATATAACATGTAATAATATAAAAATATAATACCAAGATTAAAAAAAATCTAATGCAGAAAAAAAAATAGAAAATATAACATAAAATAATAAAAATAAATAAATATGTAAAATAAAATAAATGAAAATAAAATGTAATGAAGGATGATAATATAGCTAATGATATAATAATAATAATAATAATAATAATAATAATAATAATAATAATAATAATAATAGTAATATATGGCATGGTTTCCCCTCACCCCCCCTCCTCCTCTTGCCGCATTGAGGGCATCCCAAAGGGCCAGAGTGGTCCTGGGCGCTCTGCGCATGCTCAGGAATCCTCTGCCTTTCCCTCCTTGGGTGGGTGGGTGGCTGAGTGGGTGGGGGTCTCACCTGCGAAGCCTCTGAGGGGAGGGTGAGGGGAAGACTGGACCCAAAGAGGCGCGCTCCTCCCGCTTCGGCCTCCCGAGCCGCACTGAGCCAGGAGGAGGCGGGCGGGGACAGGCCTTCGGTCACGTGGGCGCCCCCCGCCCGCTTTGCCGGGCTCCCATTGGCCGCTCCTCCGGCGCCCCCCCCCTCCCCTCCCTCCCCCGCCCCTCGCCGCACCTGAGCGCCCCTCGGTCGGGCTGCCCCGCGCACGCGCACTCCGCGCCTCCCCCCCCCCATAGTCTCCCCGGGATTAGTTCATAGAGATACCGTAAAACCAAGACCAGGATATCCATCCATCCATACACCTACCTACCTATCCACCTATCCATCTACCTACCTAACCATCTATCCATCCATCTACCTATCCATCTACCTACCTATCCATCTATCTACCCACCTATGTACTTACTTACCTATCCACTTACCTATCTATCCTTCTACCTATCCACCTACCTATCTATCCTTCTACCTACCTATCCTTCTATCTACCCACCTATGTACTTACTTGCCTACCTATCCATCTACCTACCATTCCATCTATTCATCTACCTACCTATCCATCTATCTACCCACCTATGTACTTACTTGCCTACCTATCCATCTACCTAGCTATCCATCTACCTACCTACCTACCTATCCATCTATCTACCCACCTATGTACTTACTAACCTATCCATCTACATACCTATCCATCTATCCCTATCCATCTATCTACCCACCTATGTACTTACTTACCTATCCACCTACCTATCTATCCTTCTACCTACCTATCCTTCTATCTACCCACCTATGTACTTACTTGCCTACCTATCCATCTACCTACCACTCCATCTATTCATCTACCTACCTATCCATCTATCTACCCATCTATGTACTTACTTGCCTACCTATCCATCTACCTACCAATCCATCTATTCATCTACCTACCTATCCATCTATCTACCCACCTATGAACTTACTTACCTATCCACCTACCTATCTATCCTTCTACCTATCCATCTACCTACCTATCCATCTATCTACCCACCTATGTACTTACTTACCTATCCACCTACCTATCTATCCTTCTACCTATCCATCTACCTACCTATCCATCTATCTACCCACCTATGTACTTACTAACTATCCACCTACCGAGGCGAGCCGGCGACCGGAGCCAGCGACTGACCAAGCCCAGGATGAAGCGTACCTACCGAGTCCAGCGATGATACCCACCGATGAACGGACGGACCGCAGCCACCGACCGAGCTAGCCGGCGACGAGCCAGCGCGACCGACCGAGCCAGCGAGGGACCACGAGGGACAGGACGGACCGAGCAACGGACCGAGCGAGCCGGAGAAGAGCAAGCGACCGACCGATGCCAGTAGCGACCGACCGAGGAACGGACGGACCGGAGCCACCGATCCGAGCGAGCCGCATTGCTACCTATCCAGCGACCTACCTAGCCATCGAGCTACCCACCGATGTACTGTACTTACATATCCACTTACCGAGCGTGAGCCTTCTACCATCCACTACCTAGCTATCCTTCTACCTACTATCCTTCTAGCTACCCACCTATGTACTTATTGCCCGACCGAGCCAGGACCGACCATGCCATCGTAGGCAGCGACCGACCGAGCCACCGCAGCGACCACCGAGGGACCGTACGGACCGAGCCACCGACCCATAGAATGCCTGCGACCGACCGAGCCAGCGAGAGACCCACCCGATGGACTTATTGCCGACCCGAGTGCCATCTACATACCTATCCATCTACCTACCTATCCATCTATCTACCACCTATACTTACTTGCCTACCTATCCATCTACCTACCATTCCATCTATTCATCTACCTACCTATCCATCTATCTACCCACCTATGTACTTACTTGCCTACCTATCCATCTACCTAGCTATCCATCTACCTACCTACCTACCTATCCATCTATCTACCCACCTATGAACTTACTTACCTATCCACTTACCTATCAATCCTTCTACCTATCCATCTACCTACCTATCCATCTATCTACCCACCTATGTACTTACTTACCTATCCACTTACCTATCTACCTACCTACCTATCCATCTATCTACCCACCTATGTACTTACTTGCCTACCTATCCATCTACCTAGCTATCCATCTACCTACCTATCCATCTATCTACCCACCTATGCACTTACTTACCTATCCACCTACCTATCTATCCTTCTACCTACCTATCCTTCTATCTACCCACCTATGTACTTACTTGCCTACCTATCCATCTACCTACCATTCCATCTATTCATCTACCTACCTATCCATCTATCTACCCACCTATGTACTTACTTGCCTACCTATCCATCTACCTACCAATCCATCTATTCATCTACCTACCTATCCATCTATCTACCCACCTATGAACTTACTTACCTATCCACCTACCTATCTATCCTTCTACCTATCCATCTACCTACCTATCCATCTATCTACCCACCTATGTACTTACTTACCTATCCAATACCTATCTATCCTTCTACCTATCCATCTACCTACCTATCCATCTATCTACCCACCTATGTACTTACTAACCTATCCATCTACATACCTATCCATCCATCTACCTACCTATCCATCTATCTACCCACCTATGTACTTACTTGCCTACCTATCCATCTACCTACCTATCCATCTATCCATCTACCTACCTACCTATCTATCTACCCACCTATGTACTTACTTGCCTACCTATCCATCTACCTAGCTATCCATCTATCCATCTACCTACCTATCTATCTACCCACCTATGTACTTACTTACCTATCTATCCATCTACCTACCAATAACTGTCATATAATACAGATTATGAAATCAGATAATTTATTATTTATTTATTTACTTTGCTTATATACCGCTGTATCTCAAGCCCGAAGGCGACTCACAGCGGTTCACAAACAGTAAAAACAGTAGAAACAGCAGTGGTTCCATACAACATATAACAATTGACTTAACACATTATCCATAAATTACCAATAAGCAATTACAATGCACAATTATTATGAAAAACAACCGTACCCAATCTTCTCATCATCCAAGCGTAGTCCAGGTTCGTCGTCCATTGTTCCATTCCTATGTTCCATTACCAGATTGCACTAAATTACTCAAACGCCTGCACAAACATCCAGGTCTTCACCTTTTTGCGGAATACCATTAGAGATGGTGCTAGTCTAATGTCCGTAGGAAGGGCGTTCCACAGCCGAGGAGCCACCACCGAGAAGGCCCTATCTCTCGTCCCCACCAGCCGAGCTTGAGAAGCAGGCGGGATCGAGAGCAGGGTCTCCCCGGAAGATCTCAAAGTCCTGGTGGGTTCATAGGCAGAGATGCGGTCGGATAGGTAGCTTGGGCCGGAACCGTTTAGGGCTTTAAAGGCCAACGCCAGCACTTTGAATTCAGCCCGGTAGCAGATCGGTAGCCAGTGGAGTTGGCGCAACAGGGGGGTTGTATGCTCCCTGCGCTCCGCTCCTGTTAAAATCATGGCTGCCGAGCGTTGGACTAGTTGGAGCTTCCGAGCTGTCTTCAAAGGCAACCCCACGTAGAGAGCGTTGCAGTAGTCTAAACGGGATGTAACCAGAGCGTGGACTACTGTGGCCAAGTCAGACTTCCCAAGGTACGGGCGCAGCTGGCGCACAAGCTTTAGCTGTGCAAATGCTCCCCTGGTCACCGCCGAAACCTGGGGTTCCAGGCTCAGCGATGAGTCCAGGATCACACCCAAGCTGCGAACCTGCGTCTTCAGGGGGAGTGCGGCCCCATCCAACACAGGCTGTAACCCTATACCCTGTTCGGCCTTGCGACTGACCAGGAGTAACCTCTGTCTTGTCTGGATGCAATTTCAATTTGTTCGCCCTCATCCAGACCGTCACAGCGGCCAAGCACCGGTTCAGGACCTGGACAGCCTCCTTAGTAGCAGGTGGAAAGGAGTGACAGAGTTGGACATCATCTGCGTACAGATGACACCATACCCCGAAACTCCGGATGATCTCCCCCAGAGGCTTCATGTAGATGTTAAACAACATGGGAGACAATATTGAGCCCTGAGGAACCCCACAAGACAATGGTTGTGGGGTTGAACAGGTGTCCCCCAACAACACCTTCTGAGATCGACCCTCCAGGAATGACCGGAGCCACTGCAAAACAGTACCTCCAAGACCCATCCCTGCGAGGCGTCCCAGAAGGATACCGTGGTCGACGGTATCGAAGGCCGCTGAGAGGTCCAGCAGCACCAACAGGGACACACTCCCCCTGTCGAGCTCCCGGCGCAGATCATCCACTAAGGCGACCAAGGCTGTCTCGGTACCATGTCCCGGCCTAAAGCCAGACTGTGCCGGGTCTAGATAATCCGTGTCTACCAAGAATACCTGGAGTTGTGAGGCCACCACACGTTCCAAGACTTTGCCCAAGAAGGGGAGATTGGAAACTGGCCGATAGTTGTCGAATTTAGTGGGGTCCAGTGATGGTTTCTTCAACAGCGGTTTTATTATAGCTTGTTTTAAGCTCGCTGGAATCTTGCCTTCCCGAAGGGAAGCATTAACTACCACCTTAACCCACTCAGCCAATCCCCCTCTGGCCTCCTTTAGAAGCCAGGATGGGCAGGGGTCCAGGATGCATGTGGTTGGCCTCATTCCTCCAAGTATCTTGTCCACATCCTCGGGTTTCACCAATTGAAATGAATCCATCAAAACTGGACAAGCAGGTGCTCGTGTTACATCCTCAGAGACTGCCATTAACATGGTATCCAGACCAGAACGGATCAAAGCGACTTTGTCTGCAAAGAACTGAGCAAAAGCTTCACTGCAAGAAGTTGAATCGTCAGGGTTCCCACCTTGAGCGGAGGGATTTAAAAGGCCTCTGACAATTCGGAACAGCTCAGCCAGACGATTCTTTGCAGACACAATAGTGGCCGCAAAGAAGGCCTTCTTTGCGGCTTTTATTGCCACGGCATATGCCCTTAAAAAGGACACAAACCGTGTTCGATTTGGCTCACTCGGATCCGAACGCCACACACTCTCTAGTTCCCTCTTCCTTCGCTTCATTGCTGCCAGCTCCTCGGT